AGGTGGATTCAGGACAGACTAGACAGCCTAATCCAAAGCAAGACAAAACATTCACGTATCTACTCAACTAACGAGGGTAACTATCGCCATCAGTGTCCCCATTTGGGGCACTCGGTAAGAATTAGTCCCCCCCCCCACAAATTCGAGAAGATGAGAGCAGTTACGACCAATTCAATCTCCAGGATAAACTGTAGAACCTTTTCCGAATTGCTATATTTTACTGTAGCATACAGACCCGTTGCTAGGCAGCGACAGCGAAATAAACGACCATACAACAGCCGTTTATAGGTAATGGCTCTGTAAACAACGGCCGCTGTAAGGTAATAGCTGCAACAGACACACGACAACAATAGCTGTTGGAAGCGATGTTCTCCGTGGGGTCCATGCCGAGGCTATATAACGAGGACCAGCTGTCATTAGAAGAGACGACATTACCCCGTGTGGAGGCGGGGTCGGATACTTCCACCGTGACCCTGCTAGTCGTAGGAGGCGACGAAAATGGAAGTCTCAATTCTGAGACAGTAAAATATGGTCGCGAGTCCAAAGGGACTCGACCCCAAGTAAGACTGCGCTGGCAAGGGCCAACAGCATACACAAAAGACAGATCCGTCCTCTCGTTAGTCTCAAATGTGAGACAGTCAAATATGGTAGCAAGTCCCAAGGGACTAAGACCCGAGAAACATTGCGCTGGCAAGGGCCAGCAGCATATACAAAAGACAGAACCATCCTCTCGTCAGAGAGGGCGCCCCACAAAAACAAGGCCGTAACTGTCGAGGAGTAATAAATATCTGGTCATGAGCCCCAGGGAGGTGCTCGATACCGAGACTTACCGACTGACTGATCGTCGGTCGCAATGTGGCTTTGACTTTGATTAAAAGAGACTGCCCGTGTGGGGGCGGGTTCGAATACCTTCACAGTGACCCTGCGAGTCGTGGGAGGCGAAGAAAAGGGAAGTCTCAAATCTGAGACAGTAAAATATGGTCGCGAGTCAAAAGGGACTCAAACCCAAGAAAGGCCAGCAGCATATGCAAAAGACAGACCCGTCCTCTCGTCAGATAGGGCGCCCCACAAAAATAAAACCGTAACTATCAAACGGTAATAATTAATATCTGGTCATGAATTACAGACTGACTGACCGTCAGTTGCAATGTGACTTTGACTTCATTAGAAGAGAATTTTGAGACTGCAGTGAGAAAAGTAGGAGGTTCAAGTGAGATGGCCGCTAGAGTGGGACTTAGTGGGGTGGAGTCCAGTTGAGAATTCGACAGTTGAAATCCATTTAATTCACCTCGGGAGCTGTGAGACAGCCGCCGGCTAGTGAGGACGTGAACACGGAACTTGAGGAAGCTACGGCGTTGAAGCCGTTACCAGGCGACAACCTGTGCAGATATAGCAGACTGAGAAAGCTTAGTACGTGCTGTAGTGAACTGCAGTGTGTGTGTGTCTGTGAAGTCGCGATAGCGCTATAGCCTCTTGTAGTTTCGATCTGTACGTGTTCAATAAATCCAATTACGAGTCAAAACCCTGTCTATAGTCACACATACGAGCGACAATATACAAACAACCGTTTGTGTCTATCATACCCTAGGTTATAACATAGCCTATTTCGAATGCACGTAGATCCTGACACATTTTTAAAAAAGCAAGTTTTCTCAACTATTCTCCTGTCACAAACCGAACAGGGCAGAGCAGCGCTTCGTGAATGCGTAAAGTTCCATGCTTATTTTTCATGGTTAGCACCTGTCTTTCTCGACATGTTTTGTGGTCAGCAGATGTTTACTACTCACCGTTCATAATCATCATATCATACGACGTTTTATAACGCAGGCACTTCACAGAACAGCGTTCAATAAACCAGTAAGCAATGATCGCACTGCCAATTTTTTAACAGTTCTGACGATGGTGCTTAACCTTCGGGGTTACTAAGATTCTGAACTCCGTAAATAGTCCGGTATTCTAAAGAACACAACTTTCGGAAACTGGACGTGTTTCCGTCGTTAGATGAGTTAGGAGGCACCTGTTCCGCTGGTTGCGTTAGAAAGAGACGTCCAATGTTACAGTAGGCGTTCTAAAGGAACCAGCGGAGTAGGTGCCTCTCGCCCTTTATCTAAGGATGGAAACAGATAGAGTTTCCAAAACGTTGTGTCCTTTAGAATGGCCGATGATGGGCAGATTCCACAAACTCAGGAATCAAGATCACTTTCATGTTTAATTTGCGTTGACCTAATCGTGTAAAAAATAAACAAACAAAACGAACTCCGCGATTTAAGTCCGCAAGAGAACCATACCGACCGAGCGACGGCCGCTTGTCGGCGAAAAATAAACTAAACTTAAAATAACGAGAACTTTCAAGTTGATTTTACTGAAATTTTTTATTTTATTGGTTTGTTCTGAGATAATTTTCCTCTTCAGGACACTGTTTCACACAGTACACAATTCGACCCAGAATGTGCTACTCTTCAAAGTAAATGATCTTCACTTTACCCGAAAATTAATTCCTGAGGGACTTGAACATCTTTCAGAAAGAAAGAAACTGCGTCGTCATTTCCATTCCATCCCATAAACGAAGCTATCAGACCGAGTCACTACCAACAAGAAATGCCACTATTTCTTCCACAAAACAGATGTATTTACTTTAACGTGACCGAGGAAAATAATGATGAGTTATTTCTCTATGTATTACAAACTCATATTCTTTGCATGTTATGTGACGACGCTGCTTCAACTGCAGAGATAGTTATAGCAACGAGTGAGATGGAGAAATGATTGTGAATGGTGTGAAGATGAAGATTTAGAATAAAATGGCGGTGGTATATTTGCATGTACTGTCTCAGCATTCCCCTCGATAGGCTGAGGAAAACCATAAAAACTACTCATTTAAAATATTTCTTAAGTTGTCTCAGCTCTCGGGATCACCTCCAAACGGGGAAAGGAAGGAGAGGGGGAGGGAAACATGGCGGTAGGCATGATGCTCAGTGACGAAAACCGCTTATTACATGCATCCCCTGTGAAGAAATCGAACTGAGATCCTGCGGCAATAAGTATTCACCCGGCCAACGGCCATACAATGTTGAAAACACCGGTTCTCATCTGAGCACCTTAGTTAAGCAACATTCGGCGTGGTTAGTACTAATACTGCTAATAACAAACAAAAGAAAAACAAACTCCGTGGCCTGTAGTCCGCAAGCGAACAATACCGACCGAGCTACAGCCGCTTGTCGGCAAAGTTAGTGCCAACTTAACGTGTTATAAATAAAGGATGAAAGCACAAAGAACATGGTAACATTATTCTGGTGCACCTGTATTTTACGTTTAACACAAAATAGTAAGTACTTCAAAGATCCAGTGTGTGTATCCGTTTATTCTGTGTTTGTATTGTCCTGTGTTTAAGTAGAGGCCTTGTGACTAGCGGATCACTCGTCCCAAGGTGTCCTACCATCTGCGAAAAAAAAAATTACGGAACTGAATAAAGGGCCAGGGCCCTGAATGGGCTGGATGCGGCATTGAAAAAAATATTGTTGCCAAATGTAATGTCGACATGATGGAGCGCTTTGGATGTTCAACAGACACACATCAACACCGTCCAGCCTAACTTATAATACAATCACTCTCTGATAAAGTACTTCGCTTTCTCAACAGGCCTATTTCAACAACTAGATAGTACTATGAGAATAAGCAACACATTGGTGACTCATTATACACTGCCAAACTGAATTCTGATATGTCGTACCTAGTTAACAAAGACTGGCCTAAAGCCCCTTAAATAAAATCCAAGTATACAACATCAGTATCCACCTAACTAACCACACGAAATTATAATTCCGAAGGAAATATAAGAGTAGCTTACCGGCGTGCAACACTGTTTTACCGCATATGGCTGCAGAGACAACATTCGAAAACTGCAAAGAAATTGTTTTAACCCTCATAACACAACGTTCTGTACGGTCCGACAGCATGATGGTTCAGAGTGTGCATCATGTACCAGTAAAAACCATTTACAGCTGAACCTTCTGCCTCGCTTGCTGTATTTTACGTTATCATCCACAAAACCCAATACGAACGGCATACGTACACTTTTATTGCATTTGAATTGGAGATCGGAAATCATGACTCGGTTAAAAGGAAATAAAACATGATGCTCTCAAGGTTGTCAGTTTGTCATAATGAGACCATGTAATGCCAGGATCGCGTTTCGCAGAAGGGGTGAGTTAACAAGTATACATTACTTGCCGCCAACTATGAGCCGATTGTCTAGAAAATGTGGGAACTTCAATATCTCAGAACCCTATGGGCCTCCACGGCCTGTTACAGGGAAACCTTTACTTTTTACTTTACATTACTAAACACGATATGCCGATCGACTAAGCAGAAGACATATATGTTTTCCCTTTAATAAACAGACATTCTTTTTCCACACCCCTGATAATTCTGGAGGTTGAAAAATTCACTACTTACAAATATGACTCGCAAAGTACTAGGTGACTGTCCCAGCAATGACAAAGTTTCCAACAGTATGTCCGACAAAGGACCTTACTTAAGCCATTCTACCCCAAAAGATCTGTCAATTTTTGTTTTAATTATTGTTACAAGATCTAGTCCAGCTGTATTCCACTACGTATAAAAACATATCATTCTGACGTCAAAGTTGATGAAGTACGTAATGAGTGCACCAGTGTTCAAACTGCGAAAGATATTGTGCAACAGTATACATCTGAAAATGGAATAGAGAAAGAGCTTGCATATTCAAAACTCCAAATAAGGAGGCAAATTATCTTTACTGCTTCAATTATTCATCCACTTAAACAGATGTTAGCAATGAAAGAAGCCATTATTAGGCATTTCCTGATGAAGGTGAAGCGAGGCAAACAGACCGGTCCATTAATTTCGAAGACCCAAACCACCGTAACTATGAAACACACCACCTACCCGAATGTATGGAGTTAACTCAGCCGAACACTTCATCAACACTTCACAGCAACACACTTCGCACTACTGCTTACCTGTTTCTGCCTCTCCAATCGGCAACCTAACTGTTCCACCGCGGCAACACGACTGATGCGACTCTCGTTTGTTCGGCCGAGCTTGCTGTAAAGCCGTCCAGTTCCGTGCCACGTACAGCAACAAGCTGATCGCTGCACAAAGGCTGTCCAAAGCAGCACTGTCCTTACTTTCATTTACCGACAGAATGCTTTTAGTGCATATGTGCTGATATTTGAAAGCATTAATGGAAGACCTTTGGATATACAGTGTGACTACATACAAGCATAAATGCCAGTGAACCTGCAGAGTCCTTGACGTGCTGAGGTAGCGGAAAGAAGTCTCATTTAAGGTGAGAAGGATGGTACTTGATGTTCTTCTGTCTGCTTACTGTCGTATTCCCCTCTGGCCAATATCAACCAGAACAAAGCTCCTCTTCACGCTGTCATGCTGTTACCACTGCCAATGTCTGTGTAAAGGTGTGTCCCCACATTCGGTGAACGAATAATAGGGAACGAACAGAATATATTTTTCGCATTGTTAATCCTTCTCTATGTGCAGTATAACTCGCATATCTTGTTCTTTCTGTTCGTCATGTATGATGCCGAACTGATCACAGCAAGTGAAAATTTTGTAGTTTTAAGTACATTATTTGGAATAAAGAAATCAAAGAAAAAAAAAGAGGGTGAATGACCACAATTCTTAAAAGTCGGAAGGCCTACAGTGGTAGTGAAAAAATGAGGGTCTCTACGATGCAAGAACCAAGGTATTTTAAACTTTTCAACCGAATGTTTTCTGGTGACTTCTATTTTATATTTATCTTAGTCGGTCCTAAAAGAACATAAAAATATTTCGTTACAGAACCGATATTAGCAAAGGAAATATTACATAAAGTACTTTGGTTTCTGACGTATAGAGGTTGATTTAGAAGTTCCTATACAACAATTCAAAACAAAAGATTTCAGCAATAGTTCCAGAAGTTTGCGAATCCATAGCTGAAACATTGAAAATTTATGTAAAATTAGACGTTTTGTTTTCTTGTATATTTTGACAAAGAATTGAAATAAGAATTAGAATTCTCAAAACTTTTTTCCAATAACATTTTCATTCCATTTTCAAAATAGTCGCTACTCGGTGAAACAGTGTATGTAACACGCTAATGTTTGTTGTTGTGTATTGCCGTGAGTTGATGCCTATAAATTTGGCTGAGATCGTTGTGCTGAAAGAATGGTTTGTGACTGAGGGGTTAGGGTCAATGTGTCTGAATCTTGAGAAGTGCAAGAGAGCGGTGACTGAGCCGGCCATGGTGGTTGATAAATAGCTGTAGAAAGCGAATACTGCTGCAAATATTAATACAGCGTTAATTTATTTTAGCAATTTTTGCAGATGTTTTGTACACCAAATGAATGGTTGTTTTGCGAGGAATACGCAGCGTGATGGAATTCCAAGTGCCTTAGTTCGGTAGAACAGCATCATTAACTAACTGACTGACTGAATAACTAACTAACTTCGTGGAGCTGAGCCCTTCTTGAGAAACTGCCAGTTGTACAGAAACTGAAGAATTTCCCAGAATTTTATGGAATCCTAAAGTTCATTACAGTGTTCACAAAAGCCCTCAACTGTTCCCTGTTCTGAGCCGGATCAATCTAATCAATACCACTCCATCATATCTCTCTATGATCCATTTTAATATTATCCAACCATCTACGTCTTAGTCTTCCTATGGCTTCTTTCCTTCGGTCTTTCCCAACCAATATCCTATATGTATTCCTCTTCGCCCCCATTAGTGCTACATAACTTGCCCATCTCATTCTAATTATGCTTAAAGAAGAGTACAAGTTATGAAGCTCCTCATTATGTAGTTTTCTCCAGTCTCCCGTCACTTCATCTCTCTTCCGTCCGAATATTCTCCTCAACACACTGTTCTCAAACACACTTAGTCTATGTTCCTCCCTTAATGTCAGAGACCAAGTTTTACACCTATTCAGAACCACAGGAAAAATTATATTCTTGTATATTATATTTGCCGGTCACGGTAGCCAAGCGATCTAAGGCATGCACTGTCTTCGCTCGCTTGGAAGCCGGGATCGTGGGTTCGAATCCCACTCAGGGCAAGGATGTTTGTGTGCGTTTTTCTGTGTTTGTGTACAGGTAGAGGCCTTGCGACGAGCTGATCACTCGCCCAAGGAGTCCTACCGAATGTGTAAGATCTAGTAAACCGAAGTGAAACGGAGAGTTTCATGGAGGTAGGCCTAGGCCCAAATTGGGGCTGTAGCGCCACAGGAAAAAAAAATTATATTTACGTTTCTAGGCAGAAGACGAGAAGGCTAAAGGTTCTGACTGAATTGTAGCAATTCAATATCCTCTTAATTTCCTCCTGAATCGGGTTCTCATTTGTTGCTGTCTTTCCAAAATATTTGAACTGTCACATTTTCAAAGGATCTGTTTCCTATCTTCATATCATGATTTTGCCCCGCATTCTGGCGACCAGACAGCAACATATACTTAGTTTTCTCTGAGTTTATTTCTGGACCAACTCTCTTACTAGCGTCAATTAAGTTTATGAGATTGTCTTTATGGTATCTATGTTATCAACCAGTAGATTTACATCATCAGCATAGACTATCAGTTGATGCGTTCCACTTAATTTGAGTCCTACCTGAAAAAGCTGGAGGCATGACAGAGGGAAGTGGAGAAAAAGCTATGAATAATTTAGCCTATTTTCTCCACTTAAGAAGCTGGTCAATACTATTCATGAAATTGTGTAAATATAAGAAAATGTTTGATGAATATTTTGCAACCCTGGAAAGTGTACCATGGTAAGATTACTAAGCATAAAATCATCAAAAATTTCACTTGCAATATATAGCACGAATGCTTTAATTTCTCTGAATAATTTTATAACTTGCGAATATTAATTTAAAATTATATTAAAAGCACAGTGTGTGCTTACCACAGTGTCCTTATTCTCTGTATTTATGAACTTAAATTTATCTAGTGAAGTAATATTTTAAAGTCATTCCTGTGCTTAACTAATTAAGCACTACGCCAGGAACACTTATGGGGAATGAATGTATAGAGCCACGTTTTCTTGGCCTCGACAATAGTTGGAAGAGAAAATTCTGAAGGTGAACTAAGGTGCATTGTATATTTAAATTGCACAACAACCGGATTATAATGTTTCCTCATTTTGCCCTTCCCTCCAAGAAGACGCAAAGAATGGGTTCATTGTTTTCATTATTTCTACCGATTCACACTCGATTGCATCTGAAATTTCCTTCCGGACGTCGCTCTTTTGCGTTAATTCATGTTAAGAATCAGTAGAATCCGACTAAAAATTCCTCTGTCAATATTTATGTTTTAGCTCCATTTGTCCAGTCCATTCTGTATTGCCTTTTTTTAAAAAAGCATTGAAATAACAGTGAAGAAGACATTGATTTAAAAAATAATAAAATATTAAGAAAATTCAATTAAATCTGGAGTGAAAACGGGATCCGGGTAGTTCAGTCGGTATAGCTCCAGACTATATGCTGGAGGGCCGGGCCTCGATTCCCGGTAGAGGCAAGAAAATTTATCTTTTTCATTGTGTCCAGACTGGCTCTGGGGTCCACCCAGCCTCTTATCCAATGTTAGCCGCAGTTAAACTAAATATCTGCATCATAATATTGGTGTTCAATGCTGCACAGCATTGTGCAACCACGCTGAGGAATTTTCCCTGGCTCTAAAGCGGCCGAGGGTGAAGCTGAACATTCACCTCCATCAAGATCCGAGCTCAAGAATAGCGGAATACACTTCTACTTTCCATACGTCTTCGTGATTTTGTGCGTGATTAATTATTTACAGAGACAACTATAAATTTTTACTCTTATGGGATGAAAACCGCCTCTGTGGTCTAGTGGTCAGAGTTCCTGGCTACAGATCCAGAGGTCCGGGTTCGAATTCCCGGCGCTACCAGATTTTCTGAGAAGTAGTGGGTCTGCAACGGGGTCCTCTCAGCCTCGTGAGGATAATTGGGGAGCTACTTCAATGGAAAAGTAGCGGCTCCGGTCTAGAAAACCGAAATTAACGGCCGTAGGGATTCGTTGCGCTGACCACTCGACACTCTTTATCCGCTAAAGTTAACACTAACTCCGCCGACAAGCGGCACTCATTCGGTCGGTATAGTTCCTTTGCGGACTAAAACCACGGAGTTCATACGGTATGAAAACAAAGGAGAATTATAGCATAACACTTCTCGATACCGAAAGTGATTTACTGACGCCTGCATTTGAAAATAAATCCACTCCGACTTAACAGCTGTGCGGGCAAACCCATGGGAAAAGAATGAATGTATTAAATCCCTTTTATTTCACCGTACGCACGTGATAAATTCGTTCGGCAAGTGTGGGCAAGACCTGAACAGGGTGGTACAACTGGAGTACCCTGAGTCCGTAGAGCAACTAGACTACGGGCTGGACGACCGAGGAGTCGGTGTTCGATTGCAGTTAGGGTTAAGATATTATTCTCTTCTCCGTAACGTCCAGACCGTGTCTGGGGCCCGTCCAGCCTCCTATATATTGGGTACTGAGGACCGTTTTCCAGGAGGTAAAGCGGCAGATGTATGGCGCTTACCACTCACCTCCAACCATTGCCGAGGTTAAGAATATTATAGCTATAATTCCACTCCCCCATACGTCTTAATGGTGTGGTGTTTAATTACGCCAACCGTTTATACTGAAGGGGTGAATGTTACACTTCGAGCGAGGTGTGGATAAGTCGAAAAATTGGTATTCCTCCCGCAAACCTAAGTATAGATCTCATGCAAAGCATTCGGGCTTAAGAAGGTAAAATACGAAGGTGGACTAGGTTCATCTGGACCAGGGAACTGTAGGTGAACACGATAATTAGCTTTGGAATCGATACAAGGAGGAACATTTCTTGACCAGCTGAATGGCCATTATCTTCCCAAGGATTCTCCTCCATGAAGTTAGCTGAAGGTAACAAACAGAAAGTTGCTTGTGATGGTGTTCTGTTCCGCCTAATTTTCGCCAGAATGAAAAATGAAGGCCCTGTCATTTGTATTTTTATGGTGATTTATTGGCAGTCCACTGAGGTCGAGCCAGTCCAATGAAGGGCTGTGAACCTGTGACCTACGGTCGCAACATCCAGTAAGTTAAACTACATATGCTGGTTGTCACTGGTGCTTCGTCTAAAGAAAAGCTGCAAGGAATGAAGTATTACTATTATTATTATTATTATTATTATTATTATTATTATTGGAGCATGCGGTAGCGTAGTTGGTTGAGGCACTATGCTACAAGCCGGCAGGTCGTGGGATCAAATCCCGATGAAGTG